TACACATACATACATATATTATCTGTGTGTATGTATGTATATCTGTACACATACCCACACACACATATACTTACATTATTGTGTAAGACCCTCACAAAAGCTAGGTTATGACATTTTTATCCCAGTTTGACAGATTAAGAATTTTATGCCTAAGAAGATTTAGTAACTTTCTTGAGATCATACTTATGTAAAAAGCCAGCACATGAAGTCCCCTAGTCCCTTTGTCTCTTTAACATATTTAATGTATATGTTCACAGATGAATAACGTATATACACATAAAACATAGTTCAAATTGATATGTATATGTATATGTATCACAAAAATTAAGCTGTATCAATTTGACATGTTTTATGTATGCATATATGTGTATGTATATCTTTCTGCCAAGTTGATATAAAACTGCCTTAACTTAACAGTTGTATAAACTTCCCACTAGACGCAAACTCCTTGTAAGCATAGCTTGTGATATATCTGTCTTTGTATCCATAGTTCCTTACTTGGTTTCTTGTGCATAGGAGATATTTAATATGTCTTTATTGAATTAAATTGAACTGAAATAAATTTAATTTATATGAAAGAACATTAAAATATTATGTAGAGTATTAATTCATCTTATTTGTGTAGCTTCTGAAATAGTAAACTAATTAAACTAATACATTAAAATAAATAATAAAAAATTAAACTAGTACACATGCTATTGGATTTGAAGTACTGAATATTATAATTCAGTGACAATTTTGAGGCAAGATAGTGTATTTTGGCCTTGTTCAGTTTGATTTGATAGATTATAATGCCCCTTCTAGAACTGAAATTGTCCACTCTATAATGGTTCCCTTAAAGACTTTTTAGTTTATGGTTCATTGACCCAATATAGAAGGATGTGAGTCTAACAGATAAATGCAACCACCATTGCCTGTGTCGATTCTTGCAGTTCTTTAAAAGAAATTGTGGTCCATCATTTGCCTATGTCCTGTTCTAAGAGATCTTTTAATCTTTCTGATTTTTAGAAAATTGAATATTTATTGAATGATCCTCTACTAACACATTTTCTACTATAAAATATTGAGAATATTAGAAAATGACTCGATTCCATTAAAATACATGTTAAGTAGTGGTTACAATGGGAGTACAAGCTTCCCAAAACCTTATCAAAATAAATGATCCTTGAAATCAACTTATAGAAGCTGTTTTTCCCCTGACTGGTAAGGTGAAATATACATTTTGGAGCAACTTATTCTTGAATATGTTATTTTTCTAAATTGAATATGTTAGTTTACCATCAAAGCAACTGCTGTCAGATTCCCTGTGCTGCTACATCGGGTGAAGATTGAAAAGGCAAGTCATTTTTAGAATAATTGGAAGGACAGCAAGCCATATTTTTATTACACACAATACATATTAGCTAGTCTCCTATGTATACTGCAGGCATACTTCTGAATAAAACAGATAACACCTTAATCATATTGAATGTCCGTTGTAAAAAAACCTACCAGAACTCCTTCCTTTGTTTACAAGGAGATCTAAAATCTATAATTCTCCACTTGATAGATAGAGTAGAGACAGTGGCTTTAATTGCTAGCATTCTGAAAAATTCAGAGGAGAAATCTTTCTCACTGAAAGCACAGTACGGTTAATAGGCTCTTGTGGGTAATTCTAATCGATTGCATTAACCCAGGCCCCACAAAATGTTTCTCTTAAATGTTCTTTTTCTTTTATTCACCTTGCGTTTGAATTCATAGTATCTTAGCCTTATATTATTTTCCTATTTTATATATAATTTTGAAGTATTGAAAAACGTAAACCTCAGGATATTTTTTTAAAAATGACATGCATCTAAAAGTAAATTAGAAACAAGATACAGATGTTGCCAATTATACTCAAAGATCATATTTGGCTATCATCTGCAAAGATTTTTACTTAGGACAGATAGGAATAGCAGTTAGAGACCTGAATATGGAATTAAAGGACATGTATATGTTCAAGTATTACCTCTACTACTAACTAAAAACCTTGAGTAAAGGTACTGCAATCATCTGGGCCTCAGTATTCTTCTCTGTAGAATTAAAGGCTCATTTATAAATTCTATTATAATCTGAATTTGACTTAAGTAAACTTTTGCTCTAATTAACTTTTTAAAATTGATTTTATTTTTTTCTTTTATTTTGAGTTTCAAACCATCTCCATCCTTCCTTACCCCACACTAAAGAAGGCTATCATTTGACACAGATACATACATATACACATACACATACATATAATTACATTATAATATATACATATATAATATTATTCTCTCTATATAATACATATATGCACAAAACCATACTATGCATACTTCTATTTATGAGTTCTTTCTCTGAAGGTAGATAGTATGTTCCTTTGTAGTTGATTTGAGTAGTTATAACACTCAGAATAACTTAGTCATCCATAGTTATACTTCAAACAATATTGCTGTCACTATATACAACATTCTCTTTTTGTTCTTCTCATTTCTCTCTTCATTATTTCATGCAATTCTTTCCATGTTTTTCTAAAGTCAACCTGCTCATCATTACTTATAGCATCATAGTATTCCATCACAATCATACACCATGACTTGTTCAGCCTTTCTCCAATTGGCGAGCATCGCCACAATTTCTGGTTTCTTTCTACCTCTAATTATGTACTTTTTTCTCTGAGTGCCTCAATGAATTATTTTCCTCTCGTTTTTTTGATTCCTAGGACATTTCCTTCCTTTCTCTACAAAAGACCAGTGTATTTTATCCCTTATTTAATTATATTATGATTTAAATATTCCTAAAATATAAACTCAAATCCTTAATAATAACTCAACCAAGAATTCTATTCAGCATGTTTAATGTTTATATTTAGTAAACATGTTAAGTTTAAGAAAGTTTTGCAATGTGTCATTTTAAACTAAAAGTGAAAATCTTTTTCTATTGAAAGTGATCCTCAAGTTGAAAATTTAGAAAATACTTTCTAGTTTATATGAGCTAAAACTAGAAATTACTGTGTTAAGGGCAAGTAGTAGAAAGGCAGTGTGAAATCAAATTTTGTGACAAATTCAGCTATAGATGATCTCAAGAAGAAATGTTCCTCAAGACATAAGAACTAGATGGGAATCATGACCCCATAAGGCAGAGAGCCTGAGACACTATGAGGCTGGAGGTGTAGTTGGAAAGGAAACAAAATGATGTCTGGTAACTTTCTGGGCTGCATAATTATTCCTGTTACCCAGATATTAAGCCCAGTTGTTTTTACCTGCTGAAGAAGTTTGGGTACTGTCATCATCATCGAAATTTTGGTACCATGGGACAGATCTCTGATCACCCCAACCTAATTAGGGCTCTGAGGGTATATTATGTATACATACACACACACACACACACACACACACACACACACACACACACGCACACACACACACACACAGTGTGTGTATAGATAGGTATATGATCTATATGTGTATGGGTATATACATATATGTTTGTGCATTTATATGTACACACTGTATGTGTGTGTGTGTGTGTGCGTGTGCGTGTGCGTGTGTGTGTATGTATGTATACACATACAGAGAAAGGGAGCACCTTTTCTAAATATCTCCCTTTAATTATTCAGAAAACCACCAGAACATTACCTGTGATCAGATCTCTTCAGGTTGGTCTTTAGCTACTCATAGAACCCTACCTCTGTTCTGTCCCAAATGCATTCATTCCAAAGTAACATCCTACAAAATATTAGCACTTGACAGCTTTAATTATAACTCTTATTGGGTAAAACTATCCCAACTTTATAAAGACTTCGGGATAAAATGTCATTGATAGCGCATCAAAGAATTATCTTTCCAATCAACACAACAAGGAACTTTGTATCTGTAAGGTTCAGGATCCATCCTACTTTTATCACATAAAGGAAATCAAAAACTTATTTCTTAACAATTTGAAAGAGATTAATTAAGATTTGAAATGCTGAAATCTGTTCAACCTACTTTATATTAATTATGGGTTGCTATGATGGTGAGTTAATAAGTAGCCTTTATTGAAAATACAATCCTTGAAACCCTAGCACACCTTCTTCACCAATAAACATCCAATGTTGAGTCTCTCCTCCCTAACTATTAAAGTAGTTCTCATTCATAGTTCTTTCACTCTTATATTCTTTTGGCACACTGTATATTATTTCATAATATTCTAAAATATTTCATGTCTAATTACTTTATCTACAAATATTGTCTCTCAAAAGCCCTAGAGATCTAATAACATACATTACTTATGTATCTCCAACTCAATCCCTCACCACCTCATCCCTTAACTTGCATAATATAAAATACACAGCCTAAGAACTCAAAATGTTTGAATTAGTTTTAGAATTAGTGTGTTTTATAAACTGCTTTGTTAGCTTATAATATGTGGGAGAGGAAGGAAGTGTGTGTGTGTGTGTGTGTGTGTGTGTGTGTGTGTGTGTGTGTGTGTGTGTGTGTGTACTGCAGGCAATGGAGTAGAAATATGTTGACTAATTAAAAAAAAAACTGGCCCATAGTTTCACTTTGTTTTCTCACCAAATATTTGTCAACTCTGTTGACAAGAAATGACATTATTTTTATTTCCTCTGTATTTCTGCTATACTTTGCTTTTAACTTCCCCTTCACTTTCCCTCTTTTCCTTTTTCCATTTTTTACTCTCCAGAGAAATTATAACTAATAGAGGAAAAGAGAGGAGCATGGAAAATTTTAAATTTGTATACTTATTGAATAATCAATAATCAATGGTGTTACAGTTATTATCATAAGCACATCAGTTCTTTAAGTCACTAGATTATGTTATCATTTATTAATATGAACCTAGCCTAAATAACAATGCATGTCCTAATTGCCTAATATAAGGTATTCCATATGGTATCTAGTAATTTATTTATAGATTTGTAATTCTTTTGAGTTGCTTGACAAACATGCCATTTTAAAATGGTAAACTAAATAATCTCATTGTTTCTTTCTTGTTAGAATTCTTTTTTGGACAGACTGGGATGCTAATTTTCCTCGTATTGAGTCTGCCTCCATGAGTGGTGCCGGAAGAAAGACTATCTATAAAGATATGAAATCTGGGGCTTGGCCTAATGGACTAACTGTAGACCATTTTGAAAAAAGGATAGTATGGACAGATGCCAGGTAAAAAACACCAATATTCAAATATGTAGGAATCTTTGTTGATGTTAGGGTTGTTATTTTCTGGGCATTCTAACTTTTTATGTTGCAATGACAGGACTATAAATAAATTCAGAAAACAGTGTTGGTATCATTCATCAGGAAATAGTATTGTGTCATTTTTTCCTATAGAAACTGGTACTTCATGAATGGATTTTGATAGTGGGCTTATCTTTCTGCAGGTCAGATGCTATTTATTCTGCCCTCTACGATGGAACAGGCATGATAGAGATCATACGAGGTCATGAATACCTTTCTCACCCCTTTGCTGTTTCTCTGTATGGAAGTGAGGTCTATTGGACTGACTGGAGAACAAATACATTATCTAAAGCCAACAAATGGACTGGACAGAATGTCAGTGTAATTCAAAAAACCAGCGCACAACCTTTTGACCTTCAAATATACCACCCCAGCCGTCAGCCACAAGGTAAGACATTTGTATTAATTGATCATTCAGAAAGGTTGAATTTTGTTTTATTTTGAACCTTGAGTTTATACTGTAAGAATCTAAATTCATTGCTCAAAATTGAGATATATCCATTTTTACTGTGTAAACATAATCCAAATTATTTTTAAGATTTGTTGTACTATATTTGGCCTAACATGCCCTCTTCTTTGTGCTACATTCCTCCATCTTATTATTTTTCTGGATAGAACTGGGGAAAGAATATAAGATAAAAGAACAATAAGAGTTCTGACTGGATTCATGTCACTTATGAGGCAAGGAAGAACAGTCTTTAAATGCCTTTCTTTGAAAACCAGTCACTTCAAGTTTAAAAAAAAAATGTATGAATAACAGTGATGGCATTTCTGCATGATGGGCTATCACCAGGGTGGAGAACCTGCAGCCTCAAGGCCTCATGTGGCCTTCTAGGTCATTGGGTGAGGTTCTTTGACTGAGTCCAAGTTTTACAGAACAAATCCTTTTATTAAGGGGATCTGTTCTGCGAAATTTGGATTCAGTCAAAGGGCTGTACTTGAGGACCTAGAAGGCCGCATATGTCCTTAAGGCCACAAGTTTTCCACCTCTGGTCTAGACAGTTCTAGCCAGAGTTGGTTCCTATTTTAAAACAATGATTACAGCCTCATGGCCAGTGAAATCCTGTCCTGCTCTCCTTCCATATGGTCTGTCTGTCATCTTATAGACACCTCCTAAATCTACAATCCTTATTTTTAGATTGAATAATGTGAAATATACCAAGAATATAAAAAGTAGATGCCCTCGTTCATTTTATCATACATAAATTTTTTTAACCCAATTTGGAAGAAGTAAAGATTAGTCACTGTGAAGTAAAATGCTTGTATTTTATACTCCTTGCGCTTGTCTACTTTGTCCATAAAATCTTGACTTGATCCTCAATAAATAAAAGTTTAAAAAAAAGTTTAAAAAGGCAAGTATAGGGACTAGGCCTGTTATATTAGTGGTATTGGGAGCTTCCAGTGAGGAATTTCCTCTGCTAAGAGAGGTTGATACCTCTCTACAACTACTAGTCTTCTAGAATTTCTAGAATAGGGCACTGTGAATTGCCCAGGGTTACACAGTGGGTGTGTTTTCAGAGGTAAGACTTGAATCCAAGTCTTGCCGGTTCTAAGGCTAAGTCTCTATATATTATTCTATGCTACCTCTCATTAGATAGAAAGAAACAGAAGTGGAATTATGGTAACAAATGTTCCTTTCACTTTCATATTTGTGGAAAGGACATGTAATTAATTTTTAACTTGCTTTTACTATAGATTTACTTGGCCCAAATTATGATTTTATTTCTGGAAAGCTTGCATTTCTTTTTTTCCCTCTTGGGGTTAATTTTTAAAATCTTTTTCCCAAGATAGGAGGAAGGGTTTCTAATCTTGATATATATTTATATATTTTTTTCCAGTGAAGAAACCTTATTTCCTAAGTGAAATACAGTCAGTTTTCAATTTTGAGGATGATCAGAGGGCATTTAGCACTTTCATATTACAAGGATCACTAACCATATAACAAGTATTGAATTATCTATCCTGTTCATCTGCTTCAGTGAAGTAGGGCAACCATTGTTTGAGGAGGGGAAAATGAGGGACCATATCAGATACTTTATTACCAAGGACAGAACTACAATGAAAATAATGACAAAGGCTTGGAGTTAACACAAGTACAATAATATTAGAGCTGTTATCTGGAGAATAATAAAATGAGGTTCTTAAAAAATGATAGATTAAAAATTTTTATATGTAGTGTTATAAAATTGAAAAAATATTTCCCCATAAATTAAAAAATAATAATAATAAAGGTTAAAGATACCCACTGAAGTTGCCCAATCCTCTAAGTAGGAAATTAATGAGATTTCTAGCACCAGGATGCATACAAGTAAGCCTTCAATGCACACATACATTTTTATCATGTAGTCAAGTAAAAGCTTATTATTATTATTTACTAAAATTTTGTTCCCGATGTTGTTTATATGACATGACAAAAGATTCATTGGATGAAATGGTAATATGATTTCTTTAATAGTTCCTTTATGAGTTGATTTAATGCTTTTAATTGTATGTGCAGAGAAATGACACTAGGTATTTATATACCCGTTTGGGGAGTTTTCTGATTTTAAAAGTGCATGGCCTATTTTTAACTATTTTAATTTTTAAAGTCTAGGAAACATTACTATTTTGAAGAATTGATTTTGTGTGTGTATCTGCATACACACACATATTTGTATGTATATATATATATATATATATATATATATATATATATATATATGTATATATATATATAAAGACCATGTATTAATATAATTAAAAAGTAAAAATTTAGAAATTATTTTAAAATAATACTGTTGGCTAAGATGAATAACAAAACAAATAGCAGAATTAAGATTCAAAAAAGACTTTGACTTTGAACAGATTCTAATATATCAAAATATCACAGAGATAAATGAAAAATTTTAAACGTGGAATCAAATAATCGCCTAACAAGTAGAATATTAGGAAGACATTACCAGAAGTATTTTATCAAGATAATAGCAGTTGTACCCCATGGAGATTTGGTAGGAGTTGACACTATAGGAATCATCTTTTTCCTAAGGAAAGGGTTTAGCAATGACCAAGCATTTTCTTTATTGGCTACTCATCTAAAAAGAGTTACTTCTCTCCTATTAGAGTGCCAAGACCTTTGCACATTGTATTATATATGTCACTAAAAGTTATCATGGAAGTTCTTGTACATACTTAATGAAATAACAGTTATAAGTTGTCTCAAAAGATGGTGAAATTCCCCTCATTAGACATCTTCAGGAAAAGGCAGGATAACTATTTGGCAAGTACAATGTCAAGAGCATTTTTGTTTGTTTATAGATCTGGTTACACAGGCTCTGATGTTTTGAGATAAATGATTTAGAGCTACAGGGGACCTTAGGCATCATTGAGTCCAACCCCTTCAGGAAACTGAGGCCCAGAACGATGAATTAACTTGCCCAAGCTCACTCTTAGAGAGCTTATGATCCTATGAAATGTAATAGTGGGCAGTGTTCCTAGGTCTAAGGATTATTCTTGTATTCATGGGGATAAGAAAGCACAGTTATCTCTTGTTATCTCTTCAACATTGTGGGGGTTAGGGCTGCAGTGCCCTCATGCTCTGGAAAATCCATGTAAATTTTTTTGGCCCTCCCTCCGTACTAAAGAAGTCTGATTTTTTGTTTGTTTCTTTTCTGGGGTGTTTACAGTACCTTATTGTTAAATTTGGCTTAAGTGTTTGATCATAGGCTCTGTGTCGTCTGCTGGTCTTCCTGTGTCATCTGTGGCTTCCACAAAACTCCCCCTCAAATTCCCATTTAATTTCTTATGCTACCCAGAGCTATATCGAAACTGCAGTGGGGAAAGTAGGGATGTCGAAGGGACAGCTGTAGTTGTATTGATGTGGTTAAAGGGTTCGGGGGTCCTGATGTCCCAAAATCACAACACACAGCTCCTGTCCAAAAGAATTCGACCCAAGCCTTCTTGCAGCCAAAGACAAGGTTTATTACAATATCCATCATATTGGGCAGACTCCTAAGGAGTCTGAACATGAGTAAGCAGTGGCTAGATTATAAGAATCTGACCAGTGGCTAGATTTTAAGAATCTAAGCATCTTAATGGAGATAAGATGGACCTTATATACAGAAAGGAGGGATCTAGGAGTGGCAAGTAGTCTAGGAGGTAATAGAAGGGTAGGAAGTGGAGTGGAGCCATAGGGAAGCAAGACAATGGAGGCGAGATTGGGAGGTAATAAACAATAGAGGGCTGGGCTAGGTTAAGGGTAATAGAGAATTGGGAGATTGGGCATAAGAGATAATGAAAGGCCAGCTGATGGGATTATAGCCTCAGGGGAATGCCAGAGACCTCCTGGATCAAGTGAATTCAAGGAGAATCCTTTAGACAAATGGGACCTAAATTCTTTTTGGGGTAAGGGGCAAAGGTCTCATCTTGGGCCATACCCCATCATAATATCTCTCAATCTTAGTTTCCACATATGTAAAATGGAAAAAACATCTCCAAATTCAAAGGCTTTCCATGATGATCAAATGGGATAATATCTATAAAGTGTGTTGTAAAACCTATTTGAATATTAGCTATTATTATTAATGGTGAATTTTCTTCTTTCTATATTCTTCCTTTAAAAAGTGACTATATAACTGTTTTAGATGCTATAGGATTTCAAAGAAAACAGTATTTGCCTTTTTTTTCATGGCTTTGATTGGCCAAAAAAATTATCCGGTGGCCAGCCACTAGTGATGTGTCTCTCTGATAATATGTAGGTAGACCTTCAAAATACAGATTTGTGCTGCTCCCAAGGCCATATGTGAAGCCTTTTCTGTATAGTAGAACATGCCATACCTTGTGGTCTGTTAACATAACCTTTTAGAACCCAATCGAAAGATGCATGGTGGATGTGGTCAGGCTGAAAAATATGACCAATGAGATTCCCTGAAGAACAGGATGTCATTAAGGAATTATATGCGAGAAAAGATGAACTGGTCATGACAAATGCAAAGCCAGGGTGCTCCAGTGATTCTCTTGTGATGTCGAGAGAAATTAAGGAAGCATTCTTAACGTTTTACATAGACCTCTGCCTTCTGGGAAGATGGTTGCATAGGTCAGAAATTTTCAGGCTCCCCAAATTTCCTCCACAAACAGAAAATTGCCACAAAATGAATGTAGAAAAGCAAAAATAAAGGGATAAAGCAGTTGTCCTCCTAAGGCATCTTGAGAGGACCTCAGAGAAGACTCCTGGGGCTGAGGTTTGGTGTGAGTAAAGTGTAAACACCTACAGGCCAACTCCACTGAATCAACAAGCAGTAGGCCCTGAGGAAACAGACTGGGCCTCGGGAAATTTCACCTCAACTTTCATATCCTTCACAGTCTCAAACAATTTCATCTCAGGAACTTTCACCTCTTGAACTTTTACCTGAC